TTGCGTTACACCTTTCATCACCTTAACACCCATAAACTGATTGAAAATCATAAATGCCTTCATAAATTCTATTTTTTTCTTTTCTTGTTAACCTTTCACACGACGTTCTACTATTCCCAAAAGCGTAACACTAGCAGCACTAGATAAGATAAAGACTGGTTTGGAGTCCATAATTGTGACAAAATTTATGCTACTTTGTTTATCACATTTGATACATCAGAAAAACCTATTTGCAACATATTTACTACTACACGACTACCAAGAGCACGTTTTAACCATAATGTTATACTAAACCTTATAGGTATACCCTTTATAAACTGCTTTAGTACTGACCTTCCATATAATTTGAAAATCATCTCATCAATAGATAATAGTGCAGTTGAAAATATCCCGAATTAAATGAAATTTTTTCTGAAAATGTTGATAAGTACCCTCACTTGCTAGACTCTGTCAGCATTATTCTGATCCTCTAGTTGATGGAATTTAATTTTATCTTTTCGAAATTAGAGCGATATGACGATTATACTGGTTCATCTTTTAAATGTGGATCTCGAGACCAACAATCTCATTGAGAAAATCTTTTGTTATACATTGTGAATATCATTGTACCTACAAAAACATTTAAGTTAGTAATTGTATGTATTTTCTAATATTTTTGTGAGTTATTGTAATTTTCAAAGACGTTATCATAAGATTGAGTCTTTAACAAAGAATCAAAATCATTATCTGCTTCAGAAAAATTGGAAGAGAAGCAGGCGCAAAACGCCTACATCTAGGGTTTCGTGGCATTTAAAAAGAAAAAAAAATTTAAAAAGAAAAACTATGGATGTTTAATTAATGTACAATTAATTTCTATAAATTGATTCTCCACCAATTAACATTAACGGACGGACGGACGGACGCCAAAGTGAAACTATAAGGCTTTCGGCCATGGGCCATGAAACCCTAAAAATGACCCTGGGCTTCACAATAAGATTCGACAGAATCATTAACAGATTGAATTATGTTGGCATTGATACAATATGTCGCGATAATCCGACATTTGCTTTGCACGAAAATGTTTAATTAGCGATTCGGCCGGATTAGCGAGTACTTACACAAACCTCTACAGTTTGGACAAAATTTTCAACAATTACTTTGTAATACGACATTTAGAGCCAGTTTCACCAACTTTCGATTAAAAGTTAATCAATGATTAAAGTCAGTTTAAAGGCTTCTGATTGGTTAATTGAGGATTTAATCATTGATTAACTTTTAATCGGTGTTGGTGAAATCGGCCCTTAGACATCTACATATCTAGTTATAATCATTCTTTAATTCAGTTTGTTCATTTTAAAACTACATTTTTATAAATTTTGTAAATAAAAATTCAAATATTTACAATCTAAACTCACTAAAATTTTCTTACTAAATCAAATCAGACAGATGGAATTCAAGAGTCGATAAATACTAGCAAGTTTAATTACTTTAATTTATTGATAGTTTTGAGTAAGTAGTTCGAATCTACTAGTTTGGCACTTTAATAAACTAAATTTCCCGTGCACAATATGTGCATATATGGTAAATGTCCCAATTTGTGGACTACTTAAATTTCTATCTTTGTAGAATTTTTAATAATTTTTTCCCTTTAATATTACAAGCTTGAAAGCCAAGTTAAAAATCAGCATATATAGTCGTTAAAAAATATCCAAATGGATATGTGTAAATGCACGTTACTATTTTCATTAGGACAGCATTCATGTCGGAATAGTTTTTAGCTTTTATGATATGTAATATAACATCTTTTTATTATTTAATCATTCGAATTCTAGAATGATACGTTAGAGCTTGTTAAGATACCTCAACTTTATCATCGAAGATTAAATCTTTTTCTTTTGGGTAGTCTGCATTTTTCTTTGATTTCTCTGACATTGTTACATAAATGAAAGCCAAATATCTTCCCCACTATCTCTACTCGTTTAACGCATTTCTGTGTATCTTTTTTGTAACTAAACTTTTTCAGTAAGATCGATAATACTTCTTCTGGACTTTTTTTTCTTAATCTCAGACGTTTCAAGTATTTTCCTTATCTTTTCTAGTCTCGTAGGCTTCTTGGAAATCTTTATAAGAACACTTAAATCATTTTGGCACTCAAATCGTTTTGCAGCGTAACTACATACCGCTCAAAATATAGAAGCATCATGATTGTACTCCTTGGTTATGTTAAATATTTCTTCGCATTGTTATCTAAAATTTTTTTTTTTAAACTCAATTCTTAGAAGACCAGATAAAGATGGTAAATTTTCCAGTTCTTTGAAAGTAAAATTCTGAATTTAAAATTGAATGGCTCTCATGGCTTTAATGTAATGTAATTATGGCTTTAAAATTTAATCAGCACACTTTTTGTAAAATAGTTCTTTTAATCTACAAACACGATCAGGTCTTTTGTTATATTGAGTTCTTGAATAGAAACTTTGAAGCTTCGATAACAAGTTTTATATTGTTTTTATTATTTAATAATTAATTCTCAACATCTCATTTACAAAACTTCTTCGTATTATGTAGAAAAGAATAAATAAAAGAACAATGAGAACTTGAACTAATTAAAAGGAAATGTAACTGGGTAACAGTAAAATCTTAAAATTCAATTAAAAATAATAATTAAAACTATAATGAAAGACTCAAATATTGTCAGCGCTTTTGTCATTTAGAAAAATAAATTAGGTTATTGGTGTATTAATAGGTCTTTATAAATAAAATTACATTATTATTATAGTATAGTCACTCCAGTATATTTCGACTAAAGTCGCTGATAACTAATTTAAAAAATTATTGATGTTAGGTTTGACTCAAAAAATTTTCTAGGGAAAATAATATTGATTTTTAAAAATTTTAATTGATTCATACTTACAAAAGATTGAATGCAGGCGATAAATTGACAAAAGCAGCTTTCGCTGCAGAGCAAGGAAGGATTATAGTTATTGTTCTTGAACAAAGGAAGCACATGTCAAATTGATATCAGTCTGGTGCATTTTGCAAACTCTTAATTATTTAGTTCTTTAAAAATGTACTTCACACAATTAGAATACTTTAAAATTATAAGTAATACTACCATTTTCTTCTTTCGAACATTTATTTTCAACATCTAAGGAACGTTAACCATAATTGGGTAGATCTATCAGAATGTAATTAATGGTTGGACCATCGTTAACTCCCTACTGAAAAAACGACCCTGAATAAGGAAATAAATACGAGCCTCAGTAGGGTGGTGTAATTAAAACAGTGAATACAGTCGTATTAATGGTCATATTAACGGTCCTATGTAAATACTATTTTTCCATAAATATTAAATATAATATTGCACTAAAATAATTTTTTTTCAGGTAATCATTAAAAAATTGTTTTCTAAATTTTTAAAAATTTTTATGTATTAAAATAGAAGTGAATATTGATTAACAATTTAAGGATATTGTTAGCAACAAGAATAGTATTTTTAAATATATAACAAATATATCACAGACAAGTATATAACTTTACAAAAGAAACTTTTAAAAAATTATACAACATACAATTTTCTCATTAAACTGTTGCTGTACAAAAGAATTATTAGATTGCATTTGACGAATTAGAACAAAAGACGTGACTCGTTACGAAAAAGTAATTTAATAAATCGACAAAATCAGGCAGTACTCGATCCGACGTTTGATAGTAGAAACCAATTTAGAATGTGCGATTTGTTTTTGTAAAATTACTTTGTGTGTTAAGTCAATTTATTGTAAAATTTATTTGGTTCATTGAAGATAATTTTTTATATGTATAAAAAACAAAAAATTTTAAATCTTAAGTGTATTATAACAAAGTTGCCGTGTTCGTTCGAATTGTGAATTTAACATAAGTTCGAAACATGGAGCAATTAAATTAAACTGAATAAACGAACATCTTAAACATAAAAAAATTGCCTGTAATATTATATTAACATTATTAAAATACATACAACGGTTCGAAAAAATAAATAAATAATTTTTTAATGATTACCTCAAAAAATATATTATTTTGCTGTAATATTATACTTAATATCTATGAAAAAAATAGTATTTATTTATGACCACAAATACGGGCATGAAAACGGCTGAATTTACTGTTTCAATTACACCACCCTACTGAGGCTCATATTTATGCACGTATTTAAGGTCGTATTTACGGCCATATTTACGGTCGTTTTTTTCAGTAGGGTAACCTCTGTTGAGTGCCGGAAACCTTGTGTGTTACGGTACCTGACCATTTTCCAGAATGACAATTCACCAGAATGTGGTGCACGAACAATAGCAACATAAATTGACGAAGAGTTAATTGTTATCCAAGGCAAGTTTTTACGGAATATTAATTTTTTACTGTATTTTTTATTTTTATATTTATGTATATTTTGCCCAAATAAATTTGTGTCATATATTACACATTATTGAAAGTTATATTTAAGTTATTATTGAACACTACTGTACTTATGGTTTAATAAATTTAATTTAATAAATAGATCCGATTCGTCTAAATATGATCATGATCCAAATCAAGAAGAAGTTCAAGCATTCGTCATTAAAGTGAATCTCAAACTACGTGCCGACGAACATCAAGAACGAGCGCCTTCTACAATAGTACAGGCTGAGTTTGAAAGTTTGTCAGAAGAAGTATTAAGCCAACTTCAAGAACGAAACAATATCACAAATTCACTTATGAGAGTTCATCGGCGAAATCTCTTCCATCCAATCCTAAATCTCTCATTGAGTTGCAAGAGATTTCAAAATCGTTTTGTATTACTTTCGTGACAGTATAACCTATCTGGTATATTAATAGTTTATATTATAATAAATGTCTGATTATTTGCATTCGCAAAATGCTTAAATTTTTCAGGAATTATCAGAGCTTCCTAGAGATTCATAGAAATTTCCCGAATTGACTAGACATTTCGCGAAATACCCTAATCGATTTAGGCAAATTGGAAAGTTAAAGATAGATGGCCATAAATATATAGTTATTCTGTTTTATTTTTTATATTTAAAATGAAAAAATAATTATAATATATCGAAAGTATTATTTGTTAAAAACACGTTGATGTACTATGACATTTCGAAATACAGAGCACGCTTTTATTTTTACATAAGCATTTTTTCGTTTTGCAGGACGTTAGACAATTGCATCGGAAAAATCCTTGGCCTGTTGTATTAGATTGCTGCGTTGCGATTGATCGCAAGGACAGTGTTTCAGTTTGTGGATAACTACTTCTTCTTGAATAAAATTGTTTTTGCATATTTCAAACGCGGACCTATATTGGCGACTAGTTTTTGGACTATTTAACTTTACTTCCATCATTATTTTTAAGATTTGTTACAAGTCAAAAATTGTCTAATAGTTTATTATTGCAAATGTTAAGAAGATTTTATTCACAATTATAATTATTATTTTCAACATTAAATTACGTTTCGATTTTTATTGACAAATGATAACTAATCAAAATACTTCAATTCTGATATGAATATAACATTTATTAACTTTCAAATCATCTAGCATAAATTTATATATATATAAGTGTCCGTCGCGAAATATTACATAAAATTAATCTCTAAAAACCATTCATACTTATTTTTACACACACTACATACAAATGTCCACAATACAATTATTTTAATTTTGACTAAAGTTGACTTTTATTTATAATTTTGTCAATTTAATTTCTCTAAATAAATCTCCAATATATTTTTGCATAAACTCACTTATTGCAGCCTGATTGATTTACTAACTGACAATATGGATGACACAATAATCCAACGTGGAGTCGTTCACCGACACTTCATCTGGTGGAATTAAGTATCCAATTGCTCGTAACCAACTCGATAGCATAAGAAAACGATTTGAAGGGATTGGGAAATCGTGTTCTCGCAACTTTTGATACGCAAAGAAAACCACACTGTAACAATTTCAAGCACATTTTTCAAATATAACATTGTTTCGATATAATTTATATTACACTTCCAATTGCACAATATAGCTTACCAATTTATGGTGTGGCTTTCTAGATTTATTTTGGTACCTCCGCTTTCAAAGCGTTGTCCTTATTATTAAAATTCGAATTTTATATTTAATTAATAGCAATTTTCAATTTTAGTCAACTGTAGTACGTCAAGATATTAAGTGATTGCCAGTGCCGATTACATTCAAATTTACTCTCTATGACAATCCCCACCTTTGACTTGTTTGTGGATCCACACATATAATTATCAACTCTCATTCGTCCATATCCCTCACTCTTATTTATTTTCTTATTTACTATCATATTGATATTGTTACAGATTTCATCATATTCTTCTTCTGCAATTATTTTATATTTACTCGAATTATTACTAACGACACAATATAAATATTCTTTCCGCTTATTCAAATTGTCGTTAGTCATCTTTATCACGAGAAGTCAAAAGAGACACTGAACTACAATCAACAATAACTACAAACTGCTGAATATATTTCTGTAACTATTTATTAATTCCATAATAAATTTCGCGAAACGCCCAGTCAATTTAGAATGTAACTCTAGATGAAACTATATGAAACTCTAGGAAGTTCGGATAATTCCTGATAGGAATTTCTTTCGCAAATTGTCTGAATTTAGGGTTTTGCCGGTAGCATATATATGATAATTGTAAAATAATTTTTTTTATAATTTACTCAAAGAATTGGAGTTGTTTATTACTATTCGTAATCAATGGATAATAGTAAATAATTTTTAATGTTGTAGTAAACGTAAACTATAAACATTATCAGTTAAAATAACATTGTGAAATGTTTAAATAGTTGTGGAATTTATCATTCGGTTCTAGCCATCTAGCAGATAGTTTGAGAATTAAAGGCAATTAAGGGAGGCGCCTACTTTATCGGGCAAAAAAAATTGATTTTTTAAAAGAAGTATTAACTTATACTACTGCTATCAGATAATACTTTTCTAAAATGTTATGTGTATGGACTTGGCATTACTGATTAGTTCCGTTTTCAGTATTACTAAACTTTTATTCGTTTAATTGGTTATACTGTTATTAGTTATGATATTTTTTATAACTTTAACTATATTTGTTTAAACCAAATTTAAGTAATCACATTTAAACAAGAATAATAATTTTCTAATCAGTGTTCTCAACCTATTGCTTTTTTTGTGTTCGTCACCAATATTTTCTTCATAGGCATTGATAAAGGTGTCACATTTCACATTTCCATAACTTTAAGGGGTAGTTTTAAAAATTTCAATTGGATCATGGCCGCTAAAGAAACTTGTGTTCATCATTTTTTTATCTTCTACAAATGTACCAAACATTTTTAGTCTAAAGAACATAGAGCTGCCCTCTGATTTCACAACGAAGAATGAAGATTTCACAACGGTCGATAATAATTTTACTCTTTCCACGTTTTACCTTATGACTTGCTGTCGCATGGTAAAATTGTATCTGCTTAACCCGTGTATGATAACAAGCATGCATTTTGCGCAGTTTCCAACAGATGGCCAATGAATCACACTTTTCAGATTTTGCTTGTTTCCGAATATAATATTTTCTTTCACTTTACTTCCTACCTTTTTTAATTTTAAGGGTATATCAATATGTTCGTGAATACAAATATTTCAAAACCTGGGATTTCCAATATTTGGAACAACTGTTTAAATATTTACTAAAAATTGTTAGTCTTCTTGTTGCTAACACTATCAGATATACAAATTCCTTCGTGTCTTTTACACTTATGTTTGCAACTTAAATTAATTTAAAGGGTTACCATCTTTCAATTAAAAATCTGTCTTCTCTAATTAATTAACTTAAGTTTTTATTTATTTATTTACTATCTTTAATAAATAATATTGTAATAAAAAAAAATTGAAATTTTTTTCCAAATTCATTACATATTTTTTCAGGGATTTGTTTGGATATATAGATGTAATTGATGGATTAAAAGAGCTTAAGACCAGCGAAAAGCAAATAGATAAATTCTCAATCAATCAGTAAAAGACTCAGTAGAAGACACGAAAAAAAGTGATTATTTAGGGAACATCTGTGTCACAAATATATGAAGAAATAAGTAAAATACACAAGCAATCATTGACAATAGCATTCAAAATTTTTTACTAAAATAGAATAAAAATTGTAGTATTTTAAGTTTGTTAAAAAACAAGAATGAATAATGATTAATAAAAGATTTGGGAAATAATGGGTAGTAATCTGAAGCAGTCAAGTCCAGCATATACAATCCCAAATGAGAAAATTAGTTTGCTGAAGTTGCATTTACAAAAATACAGTAAATTCAAATTTTTGGTGAATTCAAAAAGACATCGCGTATACAACTCGACTAAACTTTTCTTTCCTTTTCTTCGGACAAAGTTATAATGGCTGATGGAGGTTTGGGTAATATTGAAAAAAATGAATAAATATTAATAAAAATAGACTATTTTCTTCTCTAGTGTTATTTAAATCAGTTTCCATTTCTTTTTTCTGGATTTTTCTTTTCCCATTCTTTCCATTCTGGTATTTTTTCCATTTTTGACTTTGTTTCCTTAAAACAAATTTTCTCCAATCTTTTTTGCAATTTTTCCTCTTCTTCTTTGGCTTCTTTTGCTTTATTTTCCAATCTTTTACGTTTTCTTTCTTCCGCTTGCGCAATCTTCTCCTCTTTAGCACGAATTTTCATGTTTAAATCAGCTTGAGCTTCTGCAGATGTCAAGACAAATGAAGTTCTTGTACAAGTTCGTACTCCTTTTCTTTTAGGAGTATTTGGTACTGTTAAAACGCTAGCAACATCTACTGGATCATTTTAATTATTTAAATTAGAAGAATTGTCCTGGATAATTTATTCAGATAATGTGGAAATCTCTTCACAATTAGAATTTCGTTCAGCTTGGATGTCTTCAGTAATTACAATTACAATTTGTAAACTGAAGTTTATAAAAATTGATGATTTCAAAAAAAAATTTAGTTAAAATTAATTAGTTATTATTTACAACAATTTTTATACTTGAACATTTGTTTCGTTTTACATATGTAACTTATAACAAGTAACTCTTTAAATTAAATTATTGCTTCAATATTACAGTCATCAAAAATTCAGTTGAAGGAAGTGGCACTGTCTTTGAAGCTTTGACAAGAAATTTTTTAGTTTTCTCTGAATCCTTGTCATTTGAAATAATGTCAGTGTTCTCAAACTATTCTTTTGGTGGTAGTAACATTGCTTTTCCACCACTCGCCTTCACCATTTCTTTTAATTCTGTTTGAAAGAAACAACTGAAACATTTGGAGGAACAATAATGTTTAGTGTAATTACAACTGTATAACCATCCAACATCTTTCCATCTATAGTTTTCTTTAGACTCTCCTTTAAATTAAAATTTAATTTCGCCAGTCGGACTGGATCAAGACTGCTTTTAACGATTACGTGTTTATAACACTATTTTTATTTAGGAATTAGAAAAAATGATTATTTCCTTGGAGTAATAAGTTTAACTTGTTTGGCTACTAAACAAGGATATGTAGGCTAATTAGCTGTGAAGTTTTGGAGCCAGTCATCTAGTGAGCGAATCACGGTGACTTGTCATCACGGACTATCCAAAACCAATTAAAGTATAAATTAATTATATTTTTTTAGCACGCTTCCTCCAATATAGAAAAATTTATGGAATTGTTATAGAAGGTAACTAGCGACAACAGCCAATTGCGAAAGGATGGGCAAAAAACCATAATTGCAGAAAGTTTTGCTAAGAAAAGTGACAAGAATATAACAGATAACAAGTAGTCTAAGATCATCATAATATGTTGAATTTTGAAAAATGTAGATTGAAGCCACTAACAAGAATTGTTACCAGATAACGAAGCAGGGGGTTACGCGTAGGAAAATCCCACCGCTGCCACCATCAGCTTGTTACAAACCAGAATTTATTTATTATTGTTAAAATTGAGCTTCTGAAATGGCTCTAAATTCTAATTTGGGGAGGCACCAAATTGACAAGGTCTGAACGACCGCCTGTTTAATTTTGCGGAATCATTATCCTACTTTTAAAAGACACCTGCGATGCTTCGTTTAATTTAGTGTTTTAATTGTCTTGACTCTATTTCAGGAGTTTTAAAAAAAACAGATTTGGTATTTTACATTATAAAATTTATTTAAACCTTATGTCAAAACAGAATACAGAGAAATTAAAAAAACTTGCAAATTTTTGTGTCATAGGATATGGAATTAGTATAGAAATTAAATCGAATCGATACAGAATTACTACGTCTACCTTCTTAATCCTACCGACAGGGCACAATTTCTTTGAGACGGCGCTGGTACTACGCGTACGGACTCAAAAAGGATTTTAGGCGGTTTTCGACGCTCTTTCAGTCCAATTATTATTAATTTTCGTTAACATTCTTTTGGACATATCCAATCAGGATTAACTCAATGTTAACGCTGAAAACAGCCTTATTGACATCTTTGTATTGTATTATTCAATATAAAGAATTAATTTATGGTAGTGTAACGTTAAAAATAGTTTTTTCTATAATAAATAAAATTAAACTTTTATAATACAACTAACAAACTATGAATGAATAAAATACAGAATGTCATTAGGTTATCTATCTACTACTAGTAAATTTTCTTCATGTCCGAAGCCATGAAAAGAATCGCTGGAAAATAAAGTCAATGTTATAGATATTAAATTAAACAGAAGTCTTATTAAACGACTAAAAACTGACCAAAGTGGTTTACTTCAAGCCATCTGCGACATATGCTACACTTACGATAAGCTGACAACAAACGACGAACTGAAGTTATTCGATCCTACAGAACTTTGGACAAATTACTTGAATACATTTATCATGCTCAGCAACATATCTCCAACTCATTCTGAGAAAATAATCTTCTAGAGAAGGAAAAAGGCATTTTTCTACTCTGCCTGTTAAATTGTGTAGAATTCTAGATAAACATTATCGAGATCATAGAAAAAAATATTTATGTAAAGCCACTATCAATGGACCTAAGAAAATTATTACTTCACCTCTTGGATGAAAGCAGTTATACGTCAAATAATAAATGAAAATGTAATTGCTATTAACGATAACAGAAATTTTGATAAAATTTTCACAAAACAGATACACTTTTTTCCATAATTTTGGTATTTTTTTCTTTATTGTTTCTCCACTCAAAATATTGTTCCTTGGAGGGCTCATTAGCCCTAGGAACCGTTTAAATAAATAAATTAGGTGAAAAAGTTCTTCTCGAATTTTTTTAGAGTTGTAGGATTTTTCGTTTACAAATGGTTGAATTATTTCATAATAAAATTTAATTTCTTGTGATTGATTGTTTAATATTAAATTATGAATAATATGTTATTTATAAAAATAATTATAAAGTAATTACATTATAATCATAGAGTTTGGAAATAAGT